ATATTCCAAGTACATTAAAACAAAAGATGGCCAAAGTCTTAGTTTGTTTTCTTCAGATTAGAAACACCTGCCCCTGGCAGCATGCTGCAAAGAAGGACCCTTGCTCTATGTGTGGAAGCAGGGGTCTTTATGCAGGGGTCTGACACTCCCTCTGTTGAGTCAGAGCTAGAGCGCTCCAGTCCGCAGGGAATGGGAGTTTTACTGATTGCAAAGATATAGGTCTGACAAGCAGTCAGGGACCTCTCCAGAGACCACTGCTTCCACACTGAGAGCAAGGGTCAATTTCGGGGTCTTGACAGTGGACAGGCTTTTCTAGTTAAGCTGTGGCTGCTTTCTAAAGAAAGAGAACAGTAAGACTTTGAACTCCTTTTGTTTTGATGTGCCTGGAATCAGGGCCGGCCTTAGGCCTTTAGGCGCCCTGTGCGAGAAAGCTTTACAGCGCCCCTCAGTGGCCACACCCTTTAGTGGCCACGCCCCCGTAACCACACCCATTTCCCCCAATATATGCACCATTTAAAGACTCCTATTTTGTTAAGCCGCAAAGAAACATATTAAAAAGTGTGATAAAAATAAAACTTTTATTCAAAGGTATTAAACTTGTAGGCACAATAGAAGTATTCTTATCAAATAAAACAACAGAAGGTAAACAATAAATGTCAAAATACAATAGAGTCTATAAAAATAAAGTGTCAGGTCGTCATGCTGACCCCTTTTTTCAAGTAAGTGCATCTAGAAAAGTAAAAATAAAAAACAGAACACAGACCCCGGGCTACATGTAAATGAAGCCAGGGGTCTGTATTGTATTCAGACACATAATAATAATAATTTGTTTGAGAATGTGCGGCGGCCATGTTGGCCACCAGCGTGTTCTCTGAATGCGTGCCACCATCTTGGAGGCAGGGAGCATGACGTTACATGACGCCATGCATGCGTGGCGTCAGGTGACCTCACACGCCGATATTGGCCCCACCATCTTGGTGTATACCTAGATATACACCAAGATGGCGGCGCCCAACACGTGCGGTGTTATATGATGTCATGTGCCCTGCCTCCAGAACACGCCAATGGGTGTGTGTGTGGGGGGGGGGGCAGTTTTCACTTTTTTTAAATAATTTTTTATATTTTTTATTATTTTTTTCATATTTATTTATTTTTTCACTGTTGGGGGGCTTCGGGGAAATATTAGGGGTCCAAACAGACCCCTGACATTTCCCTTGTAAAATAGAAAAGAAATTGAGGACACCAGGCTGGAATGTACTTATCTGATTGAAACTGAACATTCATTTGGGCTTTAACAAAAACTACCAAAATGCTAGTGTTGGACCTTCTATTAAAGTGTCACAGATGCACCCTGTGATACATATTTATTTGTAAAAAAAATAACAAAACAAACAAAAAAAAAATGTGTGTTACACTTAATTTACATATAAAACAATAAACAATATTTTAGTTTTCTTTTAAAGTGAACCAAACCATATAGGATAAAGCATTGGAAAACAAGAGCAGTTACTATACCAATCTTAACCCTTTCGCTGCCAAGCCCTCCGGAACATTTTTCAAATCAGCTGGCCAAGCCATTTTTGAATTTTCTGCAATTTTTTCCTATTGATTTGATTTTCAACTGCTGCGTTGCTAGCGTTTGTAAAAGACCCCCCAAACCATATATTTTCTGAAAGCGCAGGCCCGGTAGAATAAAAAGATGGTGATACTAAATTTGTAGGCCCTGCGATAATTGCGCAATTGCGCCTTTTTGCGAAAAGGTCAAAAAATGAAGTTATGCAAAACTGTAAATAATCGACTTATGTAAAAAATTGTTTTGGTGTTTGTGTTGTGATAAAATGATACAGGTGTATATTAGTTCACCTTATCCTTTAAGAAATGCATATTTGATAGAAAAGCATATTTTTTGTTATATTATCATTTCTGCATTCAAGCCTGGAAAGCATTACAATGGTAATCACTCAATCAGGGCTGCAGAGCTCAGGCTGCTGCTCATTCTCATACTGGCAGAGCTCTGTACTGATGTACAGAGTATCAGTTAGGAGAGATGGGGGAAGGACGGCTGGACAGGCATAAGGACAGCTCTACCACATCTAACTAGAGGGAGGACGGCTTGGCGGGAATAAGGACAGCTCTACCACATCTAACCAGAGGGAGGACGGCTTGGCGGGAATAAAGACAGCTCTACCACATCTAACCAGAGAGAGGACGGCTGGACCGGAATAAGGACAGCTCTACCACATCTAACTAGAGGGAGGACGGCTGGACGGGAATAAGGACAGCTCTACCACATCTAACCAGAGGGAGGACGGCTGGGTGGGAATAAGGACAGCTCTACAGCATCTAACCAGAGGGAGGATGGCTGAACCAGAATAAGGACAGCTCTACCGCATCTAACCAGAGAGAGGACGGCTGGACCAGAATAAGGACAGCTCTACCACATCTAACTAGAGGGAGGACGGCTGGACGGGAATAAGGACAGCTCTACCACATCTAACCAGAGGGAGGACGGCTGGGCGGGAAAAAGGACAGCTCTATCGCATCTAACCAAAGAGAGGATGGCTGGACCAGAATAAGGACAGCTCTACCACATCTAACCAGAGGGAGGACGGCTGGGTGGGAATAAGGACAGCTCTACAGCATCTAACCAGAGGGAGGATGGCTGAACCAGAATAAGGACAGCTCTACCGCATCTAACCAGAGAGAGGACGGCTGGACCAGAATAAGGACAGCTCTACCACATCTAACTAGAGGGAGGACGGCTGGACCGGAATAAGGACAGCTCTACCACATCTAACCAGAGGGAGGACGGCTGGGCGGGAATAAGGACAGCTCTATCGCATCTAACCAGATGGAGGATGGCTGGACCAGAATAAGGACAGCTCTACCGCATCTAACCAGAGAGAGGACGGCTGGACCGGAATAAGGACAGCTCTACCACATCTAACTAGAGGGAGGACGGCTGGACGGGAATAAGGACAGCTCTACCACATCTAACCAGAGGGAGGATGGCTGGACGGGAATAAGGACAGCTCTACCGCATCTAACCAGAGGGAGGGCGGCTGGACACTGTATGAAGTGAGTTAATCCAGTTTGAAGTCCAGCCGTCCTTCCCCCCATCTCTCCTAACTGAAACTCTGTACCTCAGTATGGAGCTCTGTCTGGGAGAGAATGTGCAGAAGCATGAGCTTTGCAGCCCTGATTGAGTGATCACAGTTCTAATGCTTTCCAGGCTTGAATGCAAAAATTAAAGAAAAGCATATTTTTTGTTATATTATCAAATATGCATTTCTTTACTTTTTGAAAAAGGTGAACTTAGCCTTTAAGAATTATCCCTCCTATAAAGCCCCGTTCACATTGAGCGATTTATCGCGCGGTAATTCCTGCGATATCGCGTCAAATTACTGCGCGATATCGCGCTCCAATGCATTTCAATGGGGCAAAGGGTCCTACTGTCGCGGGTCGTGTGTCGCTACAGCAGGACCCTTTTTGGAGCGGATTAAGCCGCGATTCAAGCTTGCTCAATGCAAGCTTGAACGCGATATCGCGCGGCAAATCTCGCGATGTCGCGCAATATGCAAATCGCGCGACAAACGCGCGATCTGCATATTGCGCAGTGGGAACGGGGCCTAAGAAGTCCAGAACATTCAGATAACCTAAGTAACAGCTGAAATCACCAGCACACACTAAATTCAGTTTAAATGCCCTTAGTGATTTATTGGAATGTCACATTTTAACATGCATGCTATTGTTTCGGGACCACGCAGGAACCCTTCATCAGAGCAGCAAAGTGAAAGGCAAAGGGTCCTACTGTCGCGGGTCGTGTGTCGCTACAGCAGGACCCTTTTTGGAGCGGATTAAGCCGCGATTCAAGCTTGCTCAATGCAAGCTTGAACGCGATATCGCGCGGCAAATCTCGCGATGTCGCGCAATATGCAAATCGCGCCTTTGTCGCGCGATCTGCATATTGCGCAGTGGGAACGGGGCCTAAGAAGTCCAGAACATTCAGATAACCTAAGTAACAGCTGAAATCACCAGCACACACTAAATTCAGTTTAAATGCCCTTAGTGATTTATTGGAATGTCACATTTTAACATGCATGCTATTGTTTCGGGACCACGCAGGAACCCTTCATCAGAGCAGCAAAGTGAACAAGGGTCCCTGCGCGGTCCCGAAACGTTAGCATACACGGCATAATGTGACTGTCACAATACTGCCGTGGTACAGTTACCTATACATGTGAACCGAATATGTGACCACACTGCAGATACCACAACAATCTTTGTGAATAATAGTTTAATGGATATAGCAAACCACATAAACACAGTCAATCCCACCACCACCCGCAAGAAACAAATAAGAGCCACACTATATACAAATGGCAAGGACCGGGAGCCACAGATCGGGAGACCTTAGGAATAAGGGTCAGGGTCCAAGGCAGAAACAGGATACTGGAGGGTCAGGAGTCAGGGTCCAAGGCAGAAACAGGATACAGGATATGGCAACAATACTGAAGCACAGGCCTCACTGCAGGGAGAGGTTAAATACCTTCCCAGAGCAGCACCCGGTGACAACTAATTGCTGGCAGACACCTGCAGGTGAGCACTGGAACTGCAGGATCAGGCTCCAGCTCCACAATGCCACGCGGAGGTGCTCTGGTCCCTGACAGCAACAATCTAATAAATCACTTAGGAGATGTAAACAGCATTCCGTGTGTGCTGGTCAATACAGCAGTTCCTTGGAATTTCTGCACGGCGTCATCCATGACATCACTACGAGCACCACCGTTATTCTATGGTCATACAGTGCTGTAAAGTGCGCATGTGGATTCTTCTGCAATATCGTTCAGATAACCTGATGCCGCGCCGAAGAAAGGTTTCATATTTAGTTACGATATGTCACATGGAATTCCATTTCATACACATCCTTGGAAGGGTCATGGCGTCTAATAAAAGAAGCCTTACAGAAGAAAACCACGGATGTCTTTGTTTCCACATACCTGGTAAGATGGAAGAATCTCCCTATCGAGAGCTTTTGTCACTGAGACCTCTCCGGTATTTTCATTGATCCTGAATGCCCCCTTTGGTTCTTCATCCACTCCCTTTCCATACAAGCGGAACTTGGATCCCTGTATCCAGTCGCTCACCACAACCTAGAAGGGAAAGCACATTTTTAGCTTCTAATCATAGTAAACGGACTGCACATGTCAAACATGAAGAAAGCCTAAGTGGACAGAGGTTAGGATATGGGACAATTATATAAACAGACGGTTTAAGGAGGAAAGTACCAAACAAGTTGTATGGAGTCCTGAATAAAATACATTTAAGGTCACATACATTAAAAAGTCAACCCGTTTCCAGGACTCCGAGGTTTCCCCCTGAGCAAGTCGTACAGTGTGTTTAAGAAAATATATGACTAAGGTATTAAGGATGGCTTTCTTCCCAGGACTGCCTGACCACCCCTCCACTACTTTTACTTCCCATTAAATCCACCACATGACATATATTGGAGTTTAATGGCCACAGCAACCTTTTATTAACAAATGCATAAATAACAGAGTATAAACTAACATTTCCTGAAAGGAGGGCAAGATCCTTTTAAGGCATTCAAAGTATAAATCAATATCTGTGTAACCCGTAAGATAGGTTTCCAGCCACACAACACCGACATCCAGACAACTGCATCATTAACCTCAGATACAACTATGAACAACCATTAGTTCACTGACACTTAACCATACATAATAAGGGGCACCATACTCAAGATGGGTCCTTACCCAGTTTACATTTTAAAGATAATAAACCGCATTTACAGGCCAGACCTTGTAACCCCGCCATGACATCCCTTGTATAGAAATAAGATGATGATCAAATCAGATTGAAAAGAGGAGGGTCGGATGTTGGCCTGATGCAAGTTGTCTCTCGATTGAAGATTGGTTACTCCCCCATATTACCCCTGGAAGCCTCTCCGGTTCCTCTTTACCTCCTCCAATAGGCAAGCACCTCCTTAATTTCTCTACACTGTTATATCCCATCCATGTTCCAACCCCCTCGAACTCCAGCCCTGTGCCTATGTTTATAGTTTTTTGCTACAGGCCTAACTTTCTGGAGCCATAGAGCCAGAGCAACGCTAAGGGATTAATTAGGTTATTTCAGTTGACAAAAGCCAGTTCAAATCGCTGATTTAGCCTTAAGCAGGGAGGGACAGGTGTTAAAGTGTATTAATATCCCAAACTGATTTGTTTTCAATAGAGTGGGGAAAGGCTAGAACCCCTGTCAGATTTTACTGCTATCCAGAGCTCAGTTTTTTACATTAGTCTTGTGTTGCTGATTGATTGATCTCCCCTCACTTCCTGTCCTGGAGACAACCTTTTTCCCCAGACAGAAAATTAAGAAATATCTCCAATGGATCCTTTGACCACAGTAAAACCTGACCGGAAAAAAAGGTTTTGGGTTAAAATATATTTTAATGATGTGTGCTACATGCAAATGTCTTGACAAGGGAGATGATGATAGGAGGGGAGGGCAGAGTGAGTGATGACTTGATCTACTGCTTTACCTTTAACATTTCAGTTGGCATGCTGGGGACAGTGAGAGGATAGCACTATATTACTTAATTGTATGTCATGTCATCCACCTGGCTGTGCTATGTGAAGGGGTTGTGCAAATCTCAAGATTTAATAGACAGAAATACAAATCCTTTGCCAGGTAAAACAGTTCACATATGTGTTTCATCCGAGTATTTAGATGTTCAACTTTAAGATAGCGGGACAGTCCATTGCACAAAATGAAGGTTCACATGAGAATTAGAGGCGCTCAGCATTTAGACGGAATACACCCAGGACTTTTTTATATTGGAATAGAGTATGGAGAAACTTTCCGGAAACATCGATTTTCAGAAGCTAATCTTCACTAACTACCAAATTATCTGGATGAACAGTTTGTGAACATGACACTACGTTTTCCCTGTCCCCGGAGAACATTCATGTTTTAAATGCAGTTTATTCTAAAAGTGTGAATGGATGCTTGTTGGCTACTATAGATTCCAATCAGGGGATTTTAATGCATTATTTGGCTAAAGTATGTGACTATAACTCCAAATTTTTAAGTTTAGGCGTTTCCAGTGAATTGTGCCGTTAATGCTAAATCATACAAAGACAATTTAGACAATTGCTTGCTTCCTACCTTGTGGCAGCTTATGGGGAAGGCCTTTTTCTGTTCCAATATGATTGTGCACAAAGCCAGCTCCATAAAGACATGGTTTGATGAGTTTTGGCACGGAGGAACTTAAATGGCCTGCACAGAGTCCTGACCTCAACACTTCCGAACACCTTTGAGATAACATGGAATGATGATTGCAAGCCAGGCCTTCTCGTTCAACATCAGTACCTGACCTCATAAAAGGTCTGATGGTCAGGTGTCAACAAACCTGGGATATCAAACAAGCTCATCCAAGTGTAGCGGCCAGTTGTCAACAAATTTGTGATGTCCAACAAGCCCATTTAGATGTGATGGCCAGGTGTCAACAAACTTTGGATATCAAACAAGCTCATCTAGGTGTGGTGGTCAGTTGTTAACAAACTTGGGATGTCCAACAAGCCCACCTAGGTCTGGAGGTCAGGTGTCAACAAATTTGGGATGTCCAATAAGCTCATATAGGAGTGATGGCCAGTTGTCAACAAACGTGGGATGTCCAGCAACTCATCTAGCTGTGATGATCAGGTCATTTACCTCGGAATGTCCACCAAGCTCATCTAAGTGTAATGGCCAGTCGTCAACAAACTTGTGATGTACAACAAGCCCATTTAGGTGTGATGGTCAGGTGTCAACAAACTTGGGATATCAAACAAGCTCATCTAGGTGTGATGCCCAGTTGTCAACAAATGTGGGATGTCCAACAAGCTCATTTAGGTGTGATGCCCAGTTGTCAATCTAGGTGGGATGGTCAGGTGTTAACAAACTTTTGGCCATATAGTAATTTTACAGGGTTGTAAATATGCATAAATACTTTTCCCTTGAATGGGTTACTAGATAACCATGACTTCCAACCATACAAGGTAAATGAATAGTAAAGCTTTGCTTCAGCGTTATGTTATATAAAGAACAGTGAACTCAAGATAATGCAAATGAATAAGGTCCGCTGTGAATAACCTGAACCTGAACAGATACACAATGACTGACTGAATTCACTGGTGTTTCCCAAAGTGCTGCACATTACTTACTGCACATCAGCAAGTGCAACAAAGAGATATGAGCAGTAACAGTAAATGTCCTTGGCAATTTGCTGCCCTTCTGCTTGCAAAAATCATGTTTAGACACAGCTCACAACAAAGAAATGCAGTGCTGTCACCGTGCGTAAGCCTGACACTTAGAAAGAACACACTGTAAAAATAATTAATTGTAGTGGGAGTTACATTCACTGAAAGAGCCGGCATCATAAGCAAGAATTAGGACAGTACCTCCCCAGACTGAATTAAAGTCCAACAGAACCTTCAGTTTAAAACAGATAAATACATTCCAGGTGCATTAAAACAAAAAGTGGTTGATCCCCATGGATTCAAGAGTTTTGGTTCTGACTCAGCAGTGTCAGGCATCTGCAGAGAGACCACTGGAGAGCGTACTGGTAGGTGTGACGTTGGGGAATGTAGCACAAATGGTGAGCGCTTAAGCACCAGTCTCAAAGCCACTTTAGCATAAAACAATACAGTCTTTTATTGCCTCCCGAGCAGAAACATAACTTCAAAAATTAATACACAGTCCAGTTGTATTCCAGCAAACCGAACATAGTCTCATCGACTACAGGTTGTCACACATACTCCATGTGTAAATGGCTCTCTCAGCCTCCTCGGCTGTCTTCCTGTGCCTCTAGCACACCCAGCCACCTGACTTCCCTCTGACTTCTGGATGGAGTCCTCCTGACCATCCCTGTTCCTCTTCCCAGCTGGAGCCCTCAATATGAATCAGCATCCTTTTCATAAGGGCTGTCCACAGGTGCACCATCATTCGGTGCTGAGCCCCACTAAAGCCCGGACCCAGGAATGAAGATTTCTTCCCTCCCAGTCCGCTTAGAAATCTCCCGCCTCCAGGATCTCAACTATAATCCAGAAAACCCGGAATGAGTTGTAAAGCCAGCTCTTTCCTTGTAAAAGTATATTCCTGGAGCCGCTCAGCCCCTCTTGCTGGGAGTCCTGGGTGACTTTGATGCCAAATTATACTGTGGTATTGCCACGCAATGCCACACAGGGAACAGGGGGGGGGGGGGATTGACATGTGGCCCCAGGGTTAATCTTCACATCAGAGTCCTCAGTCCCCTCTTCCCATCAGAGTCCTCAACCCCCTTTTCACATCAGAGTCCTCAGTCCCCTCTTCACATCAGAGTCCTCAGTCCCCTCTTCCCATCAGAGTCCTCAGCCCCCTTTTCACATCAGAGTCATCAGTCCCCTCTTCACATCAGAGTCCTCAATCCCCTCTTTACATCGGAGACCTCAGTCCCCTCTTCACATCAGCGTCCTCAGTTCCCTCTTCACATCAGAGTCCTCAATCCCCTCTTTACATCGGAGACCTCAGTCCCCTCTTCACATCAGAGTCCTCAGTCCCCTCTTCACATCAGAGTCCTCAGTCCCCTCTTCCCATCAGAGTCCTCAACCCCCTTTTCACATCAGAGTCCTCAGTCCCCTCTTCACATCAGAGTCCTCAGTCCCCTCTTCCCATCAGAGTCCTCAGCCCCCTTTTCACATCAGAGTCATCAGTCCCCTCTTCACATCAGAGTCCTCAATCCCCTCTTTACATCGGAGACCTCAGTCCCCTCTTCACATCAGCGTCCTCAGTTCCCTCTTCACATCAGAGTCCTCAATCCCCTCTTTACATCGGAGACCTCAGTCCCCTCTTCACATCAGAGTCCTCAGTCCCCTCTTCCCATCAGAGTCCTCAGTCCCCTCTTCACATCAGAGTCATCAGTCCCCTCTTCACATCAGAGTCCTCAGCCCCCTCTTCACATCAGAGTCATCAGCCCCCTCTTCACATCAGAGTCCTCAGACCCCTCTGCATATCAGAGTCCTCAGCCCTCTCTTCACATCAGAGTCCTCAGCCCCCTCTACATATCAGAGTCCTCAGCCCTCTCTTCACATCAGAGTCCTCAGTCCCCTTTTCATAT